TTTTTCCAATTACCTGTGATTTGCACTGGATATCCTGAATATAAGCCAGGAAGGCAACCAAATGTTTTCCCATTTTTGTTGGACTGCAACCCCCAGCATACCTAATCATTGACTATCCAGAACAGTTGGGAATTGCAACCTGGCAACAACTGGAAGGCCAAATGTTTTCCATTTCTGAGTCAGAAAACCCCAAATCACCTCCCATTCGGTGCTCAGTCGTGACTGATTCAGTTTCACTAGTTTCCTTACTTTCAATACTTGTATGCAAGGAATAACATAAGATAAATCAAACTCCACCTGTGTTTACAACACTGACTCAGACAGCTCTTTCAGAAAGCATTTTCCTCCAAAACAGAGATCTGCCTAATTTTCCATCCATCTCAAAGGGAAATTCTGCTAAGCCCACTGGATGGATTGCTGTTTCGTTTAAGCTACAGGCTGCTCACTTAGCCACCCACCGGATAAAGACTTCCTGATTTCACCAGACTGTTTTCAGCCAAATATCCTGTTGTGTGGGATTAAAAACAAACCTTTGCAGTGCAAACTCCAAAATGATGAGGGATCAAACCGGGTGCAGAAAAACAGAAATAAAGCAATTAATATACAGCCAGAGAACTGCTCGGTCTTCCTTGCTTTGTGAAAAAGCACCTTTTGACTCTACCAAACAAGCACAAATTAGAGACTTGGAAAGCAGAAAGTCTTCCTCCGCTAAGAAAAAATGAGAGTAGGAACAACCTAAAAAAGTACCTCTTTTGTATTACTGAAACCCAACATAACCTTTGTTTGAGAATGGATTTTCTTCATTTTTGTTTTTTCTTCTTCCCACAAAACATACAGCTGCTCTGGCTGCTCTCCCCTCATTGAATGTTTTTATTGCTTTTTAATTGTTTTCCTCGGTTTTTGTTTTTTTTATTGTTGTTTTCTTCTGCAAATGCTATTTTCAGTGGTATTAATATTGGGAACAGTGTTGAACATTCCTGTGCAGTGATTATTGCAATATGGATATAACCAGACAGAAAGACACGCACCAGCTTCAGGGATTACATAGGTCAGCTCTGCCAGGCATGGATCTTTTAGCAGTAAATCTCAAAGGGCCTATTAAGGGCCATTCTGGCTGTGGGATTCTGGGAGTTATAGCCCAACATTTTCAAGCTCTCTCTGTACCTATTGATATCAGCACCAAGAGTAAAATGGGAACGAAGGGGTCAATAGACCAGTGCCATTCACAGGATGACAAGCAATCTGTTATCCCAACTTTCAGTTATTTACCTGATGCATGAAACATGAAGATAGGAGGCGAGGCATGCATTACAGCAGCAGCTCTCAACCTGGGGGTTGGGACCTCTGGGGGGGTCATGAGGGAGGTGTCAGGGGGTCGCCAAAAACCATTGGAAAACACAGTATTTTCTGTTGGTCATGGGGGTTCTGTGTGAGAAGTTTAACCCAATACTATTGTTGGTGGGGTCCAGAATGCTTTTTGATTGTAGCAACTACAACTCCCAAATGTCAAGGTCTATTTTCCCCAAACTCCACCAGTGTTCACATTTGGGCATATTATGTATTTGTGTCAAGTTTGGTCCATATCCATCATTGTTTGAGTTCACAGTGTTCTCTGGATGTAGGTGAACAACAACTCCAAAACTCAAGGTCAATGCCTACCAAACCCTTTCAGTATTTTGTGTTGATCATGGGAGTTCAGTGTGCCAAGTTTGGTTCAATTCTATCGTTGGTGGAGTTCAGAATGCTCTTTGATTGTAGGTTAACTACACACCCCTGCAACTACAACACCAATATGACAATATCAATCTCCCCAACCCCACCAATTTTCAAATTTAGGCCTATTGAGAATTTGTGCCAAATTTGATCCAGTGAATGAAAATACATCCTGCATATCAGATATTTACATCATGATTCACGACAGTAGCAAAATTATAGTTGTGAAGTAGCAACAAAAATAATGTTATGGTTGGGGGTCACCACAACATTAAGAACTGTATTAAGGGTTCATGGCATTAGGAAGGTTGAGAACCATTGCATTACAAGAACATAGAACTCCCTTGTTGAAACAGCTTTCGTGGTTACTGGTCTGTTTCTAGGCAGAACTCAAAGTGCTGGTTGTGACATTTGAAGTCTCATATGACTTGTGTCCAATCTCCAATACTGTATCTCTATGAGCCTTTATGTATAGGTTTCAAATTGCAGGTTTCCTTATGACAAACCTACAGCTTTCATTGGGCTTTCCTGATTGCATAGAGTTTAGAAGTAGCCACGTCATTTGCAGCAAAATGTGATGAAGTTAATTTACTATAATGTGCATTAATTTTGTGTGTCTCCCAAATTTTAGACGGTCCATTCAAAATATAATTTGAAGGGTAAAATCTCCCATTGTTTGCATAGATAAAGGTAAAAGTTTCCCCTGATATTAAGTCTAGTCGTATCCAACTCTAGTGCTCATCTCCATTTCTAAGCCGAAGAGTCAGCATTGTCCATAGGCACCTCAAAGGTTATGTGGCCAACATGACTGCATGGAGCACTGTTACCTTCCCACCAAGGTGGTTCCTATTGATCAACTCACATTTGCATGTTTTCAGACAACCAGGTTGGCAGAAGCTGGGCCTAACAGCGGGAACTCACCCCACTCCCTGGATTCGAACTGCTAACCTTGCGGTCAGCAAGTTCAGCAGCTCAGCTGTTTAACCCAGTGAGCCACCAGGGGCCCCTCATTACGTGTATATATAGTAATAACTTGTTGTGTAATGTAAAATAAATCACGTGTAGTTAACGTTTGATCAGTCCACACACTGTCTTGCCAGAGGAAAAAAATGCAACATACATGATCAATAAAGACCAAGAAGTTTACTCTTTGTAATGCAGAACAACATATGTATAATCATGTGATCAGTTGTATTAACTCACATAATGTCCTTTTAGAGATATTTAAAATGGTCTTTCGATGTCCATGTGGAAAGTCTCCTTCCAGCAGCTCATGAAGCGACAACTAAACTATTTCTCTGTCTCTCTGCTTCTCTGCTTCTGAGCACCTGCACAGCTCAAGCCTGAAAAATGTAATAGTAGCCAAAACCCCCAGGCTCAGCTAGCTACCCGGGCGTAACCCAACCAATCAGCTTTGTGCATCTTATTTAACAGTTGACACACACAAACTAACTGATTTCTTACATGCCCTAACATAATTCTCTTTATCAAAAAAATTACTAACCTCTATTTAAACTAAAAAATGTTTGAAAACCACAATTAAGGAATTTTTGTGTGTGTTAGTAACATCCCTGAGAGAGGTCTTCCCTGATGCAATTTTCTCTCTCATCCTGGAAGCATGCCATCTCAAGTTGTGTTTGCACATATGTTTTTAAGAGTTAATCTCAGAACGGGAAAGTGGATATCCATCTAGATGGCAGTAAAATTACCTCTACCATGTTTATAATTATACATCTGTCTTCATCCAAAGTGAGAAGAGGGGAAGTAAGGTGCTTATGTTGTGGTAAAGAGATAGTAGGACACAGGAAGCCCCCATTCCAACAATTTCTTGAGCAATGTGATTGCTTCAGCATCTACATCTGGCTGCCAGCTGGATCTTCTGATGTAGAAACTGATTCTGTATTTACAATGCAATTACATGGCAGTCACTCAGAAATAGGACTTTTCAAACACTATTAGCTTTAATGAGAAAGGATTTCACTTTTTCATCTATTTGAAAACTACAATTTCAGAGATGATCCAAATATTTTTGTTTGTATTTCAACCACATGCAAACAAATGTCTCTATCATCTTGTTCTTCCTCGCTGTATAAGTGTACATCTCTATGTGTTATTTAAGGATACTCTATCTGTTCATTTTCAAGGAAACAGAGTTTATCTGCGAATGCGGATGTAATTCATGTGTCAGTAGAAACAGCAGCTATTTATCTGATTTTCTTGGTGCACACATACAACTTGGTGTCTCACAGCTCAAAGTGACAATGCAATCCAACTTGACTTTGATCTTTGAGCAGAACTTCATTTCTAAGGTCCTTCCATTGGTAGAAGGAGAGGTTTTCATTGATTTTTCCTTCCTGCTGTTCCTGTCCTAATCTAGACGGAAGGATTGGGCAACCTCCTTGAACAGTGCAGCAAAGACAAAGCCATCTTGTGCCATTTCAAGTATGGTTGGAGAGATATTCCAATTAATCCTAGCCAGTGGAAAGATAAGCTGCAATTCATGAGGAACACAAATTTCCCACTTTTGAAATATGATGTCGGGGAGACTCCGCTTCCAGTTTCTTGGGTGCAGTTTCTCTAATATCACCTTCCAGCAGGATCTTCCTTTGGAGTGAAGGGCCTTTCTTCTCTTGAAGACCATGTCTGATTCCAACCATTGTGTCATCTGAGGTCCTATCTACACTGCCCTATAATGTAGTTTCAAAATGCAGTTTAACTTATTGAACTGGATTATATGGCAGTGTTGACTCATATAATGCAGTTCAATGCTGTTAAACTGCATTTTATAACAGTGTAGATGTGTCCTGAGCTGTGATTGTTAATTCACACATGTTAACTACTTATTCATCAGCTGGTGAATATGCATGTGAGAACCACTAAACTTGTGAAAATAATTTAAACATATGTGCAGTATGGAAAAACACCAGAAAAACTTGCTGACTCGAAGGTTGGCTGTTCAAAGCTGTGGGTCGGGATGAGCTCCTGCTATTAGCTCTAGCTTCTGTCAACCTAGCAGTTCGAAAACATGCAATGTGAGTAGATCAATAGGTACTGCCTCAGCAGAAAGGTAAAAGGCAACTATGGAGCCATGTCAGCCACACGAGCAGGGGGTGTCTACAGACAACAGGTTCCTTGGCATGGAACAAGAGCATCTCCCCATGGCCAGAGTTCAGCATCACCTCCAGATGTCGGAGATGGAAAGGGAAACCTTTGTCTTTGTTTGTGTATTGTATGTCATTATTGTTCATCGTATATAAGGCACAATGTTTGCCTATATATGTGTATACCTTTTTCATGTCAGGAGCGATTTGAGAAACTGCAAGTCACTTCTGGTGAGAGAAAATTGGCTATCTGCAAGGACGCTACCCAGGGGATGCCCAGATGTTTTGATGTTTTACCATCCTTGTGGGAGGCTTCTCTCATGTCTCACATGGGGAGCTGGAGCAGACAGAAGGAGCTCATCTACGCTCTTTCTGGATTCGAACGTCCGACTTGCTGGTCTTCAGTCAGTGTATACTGTGATCAGCTCTCAGTTCCCTTGGGGAGAAAGAGCGAAAGTGTATTATTATTATTATTATTATTATTATTATTATTATTATTATTATTATTAACACCACTGGTTTGCCATGAATAAAATAAAATTAAGATAAAGTATAATCGTTTTTAAAATAGGACACCCTTTGCAGTTGCCCTATAATAGTAGTCATGGTATGTTATATTACCTGGTGTATCCCTGTAGGATTATTTAGAAAAATGAAGGCAAGTTATCATTGTTTGTAATAAGAGTAAGTATTCTTTCATGTTAAACTGAATTCTTTATCATAAGACAAAGAGAACTAATTCCCAGCTCCTGGTTGCATTTCTACTTCTTGGTGGTAAATAGCCTTTGCACATACAATAATTCTTTGAAGTCTTTAAAACAGTAAATAGGCTTGAGGAGTACTTATCTTCTTGGAGAGTCCATCAGGTATAGAGGGCAAATTTAACCCATTTCTCCTTGATGATATCCCTAAGAAAAAATATTTCTGAAAATAGGGGGAAAGGCAGGAACGATGAGACATACATTGAAGAAATAATTAGTTTACATGAATTTCACATGGAGTAAAACTTCAACATTCAATTTCCCTTTTTCTTTTTAAAATATTTAATGCAATATTATAATATTTTACAAATGGATGGCTATCTGTCCTGGGTGCTTTTAATGCAATTTTTCCTGCTTTTTGGCAGGTGGTTGGACTGGATGGCCCACGATGTCTCTTCCAACTCTATCTATATAAATAAAAACGTAATGTTCGTTTGTGGGATTGAACATAACTCAAAAACCACTGGATGAATTGACACCAAATTTGGACACAATACACCGATCAGGCCAACAAGTAACCATAACTCATAAAAACACTGAAAAACACAACAGAAGAGACTTAAAAAGCCAAAAAACAAAAACAACATTACAATACATGCACAAAACCACACATATATATGCAAACACACATATATACACATATACACAAATATATACACACGTAAAACACATATACATAGAGTGAGCCACAACAATGCATGGCAGGGGATGGCTAGTGATTCTATAAATCAATATATTAATAAAATAAGTATACATTAAATTAAATTATTTATGTTGATTTGTTTATTTAAAGTAAAGACATTTTAAATAATATAATTTACCTTGGAAATATGACTTCAGAATCTGTCTTAGACTCATTAAGGATATTGTTGTTAAGCAGCAGTTTATAAAATCTGCTATTTTGGCACTTTTCACCCAGATCAAACACTTGTAGCTGAAACTGCAGAAATATAAACTGAGAAAGTCAATGCATATTTGCAAAAAAGGAATCATCGTGGAAAATACAGCCTTCCTCAACTTTTTGACCTCTAGATGTTTTATTTTCCATCAGCCACAGCCAGCATGGTTCTGTTTCAGGAATGATGGGATTTGTAAACCAAAAAAATATAGAAATCACCAAGTTGAGGGAACCTGGTAGAAAGTAGAAAGTAACTCCCAGATAGACAAGTATTGTTTGGAAATATTTTTGTGCACAGTTTTCAAAATGGTACATTAAAGGATACCAGTTCCCTCTGTATTAACTGAGTGCAAAGTACCTTTGCAGTTTTAACCAAGGGCCCTTTCACACAGCCCTATATCCCAGAATATCAATGCAGAAAATACCACAATACCTGCTTTGAACTGGGTTATCTGAGTCCACACTCAGATAATGTGGGCTTTTCTGTCTTGATATTCTGGGATATAGGGCTGTGTGGAAGGGCCTAACTTTGTAGCAAAAGGAGGGAAATGAGAGAAAGAGATAGAAAATGGGACATTTTTAAAGTTGTAATGAAAGTGGGAAAGTAGAGGATTAACTAGGGCTATCCCTCCCAAATCTGGACAGTTGATGAGTAGGTAAATTAAACTATCTTTGTGCATTATTTAAAATGTACACTATGGATTTTGTACATATTTGAAATGAATGCATCTTTTGTCTCATGGAATCTAAGACAAGACAAGAAAGGTATGGATTTCTGATCACTCACTGCTTTTGTTTCCATGTTTGCTTGGGAAGTATGAACTGGTAAAACCATTAGGGAAAAAAAACTCAATGGAGTCACTTTTCACATGTCCATACTCCAAGAACTCTTTTTTTTTGTGTGTGAAGAGGAATGGTTTAAAGCATCTGGCAGAAAAAGGACTTGTAACAGGGATAATGCATCCTCTTATGGCATTAGGTTGAAGTAAGCTTATCCTTGCTATCTTCTTTAAAAGAAGTCCCATTATGTTCATGTTATTCCCTAAAACAGTAAATGGCATGGTTCCTGAGTTAACTGAGCAGTTCCAATACCAAAGGGGTGAAATTCTTTAGGATTTAATCCTCTGTTGTATTGAAAGACTTTGTGCCTATAGAATATTAAATATTGGGAGGAAGTTTCAAACGGGCTAAGATGACATGAGCAAGGGATTCTCTCCTTCTCCCCTCTCTCAAGAAAGCTCTTTTCTATAAAAGGGTGATCAGATGTTAAGCTTGTGTGATCTACTTTGTTTTCTACACATCTCAGCACTCTGAGACTCACCTGTTGGAACTAGATGCAAAATGGTGGCTCAGGCAGCCACCAGACATATGTTAAGAATTAAAGAACAGGTTGCCTCTGAGCAGTTGCGTAGTGGAGGAATTTGTGAACACGATTGGAACAAAGTCAATTGTCTTTCCCCATAAAACTCCTCTCCTGGTTCCCTAAACAAGCCCAGAGGAGAAGATTTTGAATAGTTTCTATATCATCCACATCAGGAGGTCCTCATTGATCTGTCCACCTTAAGAAGCCAAATGGTACAGTGAAAGCACAGAACAGTGGGTTCTTTGGTATCCACTGGCAATGCCCCATGGATAAAAAGCGGGTGTCTCATTATATATAGTGGTGTAGCAAAATGGTGTCCCTTATAGATAAGCTCAAGGTTTGGTTTTTTGGATTTTGGGGGAGGGGGGATTTTTTCAAACTATGGAGCAGTGGTTCCCAACCTTTTTTTGACCAGGGACCACTTGATCAGGGACCACTTTGACCAGGGACCACTCTCCAACATTAGTACCAAAAGCACTATGAATCAGTTTTTGGTCAACTTTAGATTCTGTTTGGCTATTTGACGTGTTGAGTCAGAAAATTGCATTGGTTAGACTATATCAGCTCTAGTTTCTGATACAGAACATATGCCATCCAGTAGTCACTATCTGTTTGCCCGCAAAAAACCATATTTAATAAGCCTCAGCACTATAAGAGTGTTTTGCGAGAACAGTCACTCTCTTTGCAATGGTGTAGTAATGGTGAGGCCTCAGACTATGTTTTAGTTTTTGCAGACCATTGGTGGTCCATGGACCACAGATTGGGAACTGGTGATAATAGAGGGTGAACTGTATTGGTACCTTGTCAATTATTTGGGAGAACTCGGTTCTTTTTTCTCAGGGCAGTCCCCTCAACTTGGGGTGCATCTACACTGTTGGATAAATATGATTTGGCACCAAATATCATATTTTTTCAATTGTAAGACACCACTGATTGTAAGACATGTTCTAATTTCAATATCACCATCCACTTCCCTTTCCCCAGTTCTCTCCTTCCTCCTCTTGTCACTAATCCCTAGGGAGATTTCTATATAAGTCTGAGTGACCAAAGTGGACGCATCTTCCCATCTGGAAAGATTAAACCTCCTTTATCTGCTTAACCCACTATCCTCCAGGAATCTCACAGATGAATTCTTAAGCTGCTTCTCCTTAAACGTAATCAACAGAGTTTATTTCCAAGATTTGGGCCTATGACCGCAACTCTAATTTTCTTCTACTTTTGTCAGTAAGAAACTTTGATGGCTCATTTACTGGGATTCTTCATTAAAGATTAAATTTAGAAACTGATCAAATCTTTGGCAGATGCTATTAAAGAAACACCCTGATGGGCTGAGGTCTAGAGGAACTCCATGGTTCCTGAAAAGGATATGAAAAATGGAAGACCCCCCCTGTCTGTGACGAGCAAGAGCAGGGGAAGCATTCAGGAAAAAACTTTCAGTTTCCTTTTCATTTGGGAAGGGTTACTGAAATGTCTAGACTTGGCTGAAATAGACAAATTAAGAGATGCAATTAATAGAAGAGAGGGGTGGCAACAGATAATTAATGGAGCAGGGAAGTCTACGTATTGTACATTTCAGTGCGGAGTTTGAGGCACCACTTTAAAAAGTAATTTATTATATAATTCATTAGAAAGACCCCCTTTCTAATGTGTCATAGTGAATGTTATTAAAAATGCAGTGACACGTGTGTTTTTCTTCTTCCCATGTTAGGATTGAGAGTGGCATAAAACTGTTAAAATGTCTATTAGAATATTCCTAAAAATCTTTAAGAAGGAATTAGACATTATTACTCATTGCACCTCAGAAAAGTTCTGCCATTTCTACTCCTTTTTTAAAACGCTGCTTTGTTACATATTACCCAAAATGTAATTAGCTATAAGCAACTGTGCTATTTAAAACTGGCTAATTCCAGTTGAGTTGTGCATTGTGGTAGTACAGACATCTCAGTGAATGCATACTAGACTTGGGCCCAAATTATGGTTAATGAAAAGATTTGTAGTTTTCGTAGGGTAATTTTTGTTTAATTTCCAAAAAGAAAAAGAGGAAGAGAGACAAAAAGACCAGTAAAATGGATTCATAGAGACAATATTTTCAGAAAGAGTTAAGTCCACAAAATACCTGAGGCAGGGGGATCTGTGCGGTCTTTTTCTCTCCCCGGCAGAAGAAGCCTCCCCCATTTTTTTCTTGGAAAGTTACTGCTTTCTCCAAGGAGGACCCTGGGAACTCGCTTTCCCAGTGGCACTAACAGGGTGACTATTTAAAGTTCCTCTCAGAGCATGATGGGAGTTGAAGTTTCGCTCAGTGTGTTAGCCAGTAAAAAGCCTGGTGGTGTCCATGCTCTGATGGGCTGAGAATGGATACAACCAGCGACTACAATTCCCAAATGTTATGGTTATAACTTAAAATATTTCTTAAA